GGTGCAGCAGTTCCTCTGATCCTGTCATATATTTAAATGCAGCCAACATTTACTATTAACATTTACCATTACTATTACTTTGTTTTTAAAATCCATAGGTTAGAGCCAGCCTTGTTCTAAAAGTGGGTATTTATTTAGAGTTTGGAATAATTTCTGGGCTAATTGTGTGAAGTGTAACAAATATTTTAATTAATTTTATTTTCTACAGATAAAGGAAGCCAACTTTTGGGGCTCTAACTTTGTAATGAGTGGTTCAGATTGTGGCCATATCTTCATTTGGGATCGGCATACGGCTGAGCATCTCATGCTTCTGGAAGCTGATAATCATGTGGTGAATTGTCTTCAGCCTCATCCATTTGACCCGAGTAAGACCATCTCCATTTGTAGTGTGCGTGTTCATACAGCTGATAGTATGCTTTTGTAAAGCTGAGTCTTCAATATTTTGTTCTACCAAGGGTCACTTCACTAAATCATTAAGAGCCTGAGGGAGAATCTTGCTTGCCTGAAGGCAACATATTGCTGCCATTCTAGTCTTTTAATAGTAAATGTTGGCCCACAGAGGCTGCCATATCCTACAGTTCCTCAGTTCAAAAAAGGTGGTAACACATGACATCCGACCGCATTTGAAGGTGGTTAGGATACAGAAAGAGATTCTTTTCTACTTCAGCATGCACAGAGAAAGAAAGCTAATGATCCCCACACACAAAATAGCATGGGAAGTAATATTGGGATCTGACAACTTTTGCTTGCTGGCTGAGTCTTGAGCAGGAGATGTCTCAAACTCTCAGACTTGGTAGAAAACAAGTAGAGTTGAGACAAAAGAGCTTTGGTAGTCATATATCTCTTGGGGAATTTTTTGAAAATATTCTAGAGATCTGTTGCTCTAGGGGAAAGATGATGTGATCTGGATCTTAGATGAAAATGAAGACTGAAACATTTTGCAGTTTCTGATACATTCAGAGTAGATGCCTTCAATTCTTTTTTTTATTGTTGTTTTTCCTATGACTTAGGCTGCTTAGTATCATCCAGTTACCTTCTCTGTAATTTTTAGCATTTCTATTAGGTACCTTGCTGCAAAATGTTCAGGTGATGCAAAGGTGAGATATGAAGAAAGATTGGATTATTGTCCAAAAAGATTTAAGATGTGAAGTAGAATAATAGAAATGGTACAAGGTTTAATAGTCTAAAGTGCAGTCATGCAAGTGAGAGCAGTTGCTATAAGATAGAAACTCAGACTTGAGGGAAACAGGAAAAGATGTACTTAGGTATATTGCATATTATATGATGACCATGAGCTGCACCGATGTGGCTGTGAGAGGGGCTAGTTTTATTCTAGGGTGAATTAAGCATGGTGCATGCAGTAAAAACAATGAAGTATTCATACCACTGGCAATACATAGGTACCTCTATTTTTAAAAAAATAATTTAAACTGGAATAGGTACTAAGAAGGATGGTTTAGGGAGTCAAGAGTTATCTTGTAAATTAAAAGAATTATGTTTGTTTAGCATAGCAAAATGAAAGTTAAGGAGGGGATAGGAGTACTTTTTAAAATACCTGTTCATGGGGTCGATATTAGGAAGGAAAAAGAAATATTAAATTCAAGAGCAATAAGGGCACAAAAGCAAATGGCCAGAAATGTGTCATGAGCAAATTTAGACTGGGAATGAGAAGATACCTAATGTAGAGGAGTGATACAGTGGTCAAGCTAAGGAACCTGCTTTGCTTCAAGGTAGGACTTGAGAAGCTTATGAAAAGGATAACATCATAGGCCACAGGTGTTCTCGGATCAATAGTGCATGTGATGATCACTTCTCGGCCTCTTGTGGGCTAAGATCAAGAGCATTCAGTTATTCGCTATCCATGTATTAGGGTTGAAAGGTAACTCTTTTCTTTGTGGGGGAAGCATCTCGTAATGCCATAGTTTCTATAGGCTTCTTCTGGAAGCCAGTAGGGGCCAGGGAGGATTTTTTTCTTCTCTTGAATGCTCTAAGGTTTCTAGGTGTTTCTTTGCCTTTCTCTAAAGCAGGGCTTGGTAGCCTTTGGTTGGTGCAGGCCACCTTTTGTGACTTTGCCCCCACTGTGAACCACAAGTTTCCACTTGTCAGGCAGTCAGCTGCCTGCATTTACTCTTGCCTCTGATCCCATCCTCTCTGCAGCAAAGGGAAGCACAGATACAGCAGAGCAGCAGGTGCTGCAGTGAAGATAGGTGGTACAGTGCAGTGCTATGCCACCAGTCCCCCATGTTGGATCACACTCTTTGCTGGCTGTAGGTTGCTGAGTCCTCTTCTAAAGCATAGGACATTGGCCTCATTTAGAGGTGTGAGTTTTCGCTAAGTTGCATTTAGTAGCTTGGAGGGGCTTTGCCATATGGTCCAAGTCAAAACAGTTGCCAGATTTGAAGTCATGTAGAAATGTTTGTGTTAGCTCAGATTTGCAAGAACTATGGATAGATTTGCATTACTCTGTAGCATGGGACAGAGGACCATCAGGCATATATTTACTTTATTACCTTCTATGCCAGGGTCAAGCAAAGTCTGGCCCACATGCTGGATTGGGCCCACAGCGGACTCCATTTCCTAGCAGCCCCTGTCTGCGTTGCCGTGACTGGTTTCAACAGCAGTGCCATGACTGCACAGGGCCAGGGTTTCTATGGACACCAGACCCAGCAGTGCTGGCAGGATGCGCGGCTGGGCAACGAGCTGCTCTGGGGCTGGGATCTTGTGGCAGTGACAGCGTAGTCTGGAGCTGAGGTACAGCTGTGCTCCGCTGTCGTGGCTCCGGGCCACGCTGTCATCACTGAAAGATCCCAGCCCCCGCCACAGAGCAGTTCCCCGCCTAGCCGCGCATCCTGCCAGTGATGTCACAGCATCACTGCTGTTGGGTTTCCATGGAAACTGGCCACAGTGACGTGGGCAGGGGTTGCTGGGAAATGGAGTCCAGCTGCTGGCCAGATCCACCATTTTACCCATCCCTGTTCTATGCCATTGCAGTGTCAGGACAATGGAAGCTCTCTTGAATCCCCTGCTTTTACAGAAGGCATGTTATAAGGTGCTTTTTGTTACTCTCCTAACGTGCCCTGTGGCTGTGGTGCATGTGAGAAGTTGGCATGGGATGATCTGCTGAACTCTTTGGTCAAATGGTTGCAGTTTCAGTGGACTGGTCTCAGTGGCCTGCTAAGCACCATCCAGTCACATTTTCCTATGAAATGGGATTAATATAACATTGCAAGAGGTTTTTTTTTTAATAGTATTTCATCTATATTAATATCAGAAACGTCATTGGTAAGGCTGAGAATCTGAGAAAAATGTTCGTACTTAAAGGGACACTTTCCTAGTTTGGATAAGCATCTGAACTTTTGAATGTTTAATTGAATTGCCTGGTCCTAGATGCGTGTTAAATGTCCCACTACTTGGCCCCCTGCGAGGGCCAAATCTTTCAGAAGCTTTCCCGAAATATACCTGCAACTTCCCTGACTCTTAATCCTGTGCAGCTTCCTTCCAGCTGTGTCTCTGAAAAAGGAACAGTGGGGATCAGCCCTTGTGGCAAAGGGCAGGCACTTGAATCAAAGTCACGTCAGCTGAAAGCCTCCTAACAGCTCTCTGCTCCGTGTTGTTCTAGTGCAGTAATTCGTAGGACCCTCCAGTTCTTAGTCATGTTGCAGATATTTTTTAAAATATTTTTCAAAACACCTTGTACTTTTGAAATGTACATTAAAGAAATTTGAAGAAATAATTAGTTATTTAATTTGTGGAGCACTTGCATCTGTTGTTGCTTATGGACCTGCAAGTCCTGCGATCTTTACTGTGGCAACAAATATTTTTTGAGTCATCAGAGAGCATAATAGTTGCAGAAACTTTCTAGTTCTAAACTATGCACATTCTGTATAAAGAAAAAGAAATCAAATATGAAATTGGCATTTATTTTCTTCGTGTTTAATCTGTCTCAGTTCCCATAAAAATGCTTGCTACTTAGTCTCATCAAACATAATAGACCCAATAGTGTAAGTGTTGGCAGGATTATGTGTTTCCATGTAAAACGCATGTTTTTAATTAGATGAGGGGTATATTTGGGTGTGTGCAGACATGTGTTTAATGATGTACTTCTGTCAAATTCCAATTAAGATGTGAAGAAAACAAGTATTTCAGAATTTTTTTCCTAATACTATTTTATATGTAAATTTCTAGTTCTTGCTTCATCGGGTATTGATTATGATATAAAAATCTGGTCACCACTAGAAGAGTCCAAGATTTTTAACCGAAAGCTTGCAGATGAGGTAAGAACATTTTCTCTTTTCACAGTAATACTGGAACCTCTGTTTCTGGCAAAAATTTTCTGAAATCTCATCTCGCCTCCAATAGCTGAATGTTGTTTTTTAGATTTAAATAAATCGGTCATCAGTTTTGTTTTAAAAATAAGCTGTTGTTAAAACAATAGATTTTTTTCAATTCTTCCTAGCACATGAACACCCATAAGTAAGAAATACTAGGAAATATTGAAATTTCTAAGAATAGCAGTGATAGGAGACCATGAATGTGAAACGAATGGGGGAAGAGTTTGAAGAAACAAATTTACAAAGATGGGTAATGGGATTCAATAATGAAAGCAGCGGTGACTGACCTAAAATAACTGAAGTAAACCCGTAGATGTACTGCGGACAGGTTAAATTAAAAGCAACTCTATTCAGTAATCTCAGGTACAAAACTATGTTGAGAAACATAGTGAAAGTTGAGAGTTATACTGCTTCGTTTCAGCAACTGAGCAGCTTACAGCAAGCATTTTAAAAACAGGAAACTAAGTTAGGATCAAATAGAAATTCAAAACATGGCTTTGCAATTAGGACAACCAAATAATCTTTGCTTCTCCCTTGGGTGATGGCCTGCAGTGACCAGACAATTATAACTAGGGGTCTGCCTAAATTGTGGGGGGATTTAGCAATTTTCGTGGGTTGATCATGGCATAAAGTTCTAATTGTGCAGTCGTTTCACAGCAGCCCTGCCCTGTGATTGGCAGAGAGGCCTTGCGGGGGGTGGGGAGGATGAGGGAGCAGCCACTATCTCAATTGCTGGCTGCTCTTCATGTGGCCCCATCCCTTGGCACTGATTGGCAGAGAAGCCCTGGTAGGGGCAGGGAGGCAGCTGCCATCTTGTCTGCTGCCCTTCATGCCACCCCACCAGCTGGCACCTGGACCACTGGCTCCCACTAGGGAGCCAGGATTTTATTTTTAGAAAGTTATTTTTGTTGTTGATTTCATGGAGTTTGCAGACAATTCCAGATTTCATGGTTTTCATGTAATGTAATTATAACTAATGAATATTTGTTATGCCAGATTTATTAAACTGTTTTTTTTAATGGGATTTTTTTCAATTTTTCCCCTCATGGTGTTACTGCTGGCATAATAAAACTGGGCCAAATTAAATATTTCTCTCTCCTCTTGTGGTCTTTTCAAATAACTGCTGCTTGGGCATTGAAGAAGTAGCCGCTTGATTTATTCTCTATATAAGTAGTGTCTTGCTTCAAAAATATGTGCTGTCCACTCCTTAAATCTGATGCATTCCAGCAAACCTGTCCAAAGGCTATACCACCTGTCCTTGTGTTTGTTGCAATAGGAAGTGTGTGTGTTCAAGGACAGTATTTGGTTTGAAGTCCCATTGAGAGGACAGAGGAACAAAGGGAAAATGATTTAAGTATGACCAAGTCTTTAAATCTTTCATTATGTCACAAGTTTGGTTTTGTATTATTGATACAACTGTTATATAGTTGTCCTGTTCCAGCCAAAAGGTTTTGTCTTCATTTTTAGGAGTGAGTAAAGTGATCCTTACCCATGTTGTATGATATGTTAAGTCTGTGGCGTGCTGCAAGATAATTCAAAATTAGAAATATTATTAAATGTAGATCCTGTAAAAAGTATTCTGTTCTGAGTTGATAACACTTTAATATGTTCATACAGTGGGTTAGTATTATGGCTGCAGTTCTTTAATTTTTTTCAGGCTAAGTAAATGAAGGAGAAATAATTTTTAACACCAATGCCCAATTCTTAACAGTTGTAGAAATTTTAGAAGTTTTTCTACCAGAAACTTAAATTCTTTTATTAAGTTCTGCTTGGGAGGAGTGAGAAATTTGGGAAAGATGAAGAATTCAGTCTTTGTTAATTTAATGATAGGTGTCCAAGATGAAGTGCCCGTATTCAAAACTAGATGATCAGGGAAAGGTCAGGAGGAAACAGTACTTTTGGGAAACAGTAGCTAAACTAGGAGAGTAGATGAGATCATTCACAAGGAAAAAGTTATGGAGCCATGGACAGAATCTTAAAACAAAGTATTAGAGGGAGGAGAGAGGAGGCTAAAGGACCAAAAATAGGATTGCTAAAGGAACAATTGGACAGGTAGGAGGAGACCCAGCAAAAGGCAGACTCACGGGAGTTCATGAATGAGCGAGTTGAGGAGGGAATAATTAACTGTCCAAAAATGTTGGTCAACAGAGAATGATGGTAATAGGGAAGAGAGAGGCTCTTGGATTTGGCCAGGAGTAGGTCATTTGTGACATTAAAAAGAACATTTTTCTTGGAAAGAAGCACAGGCTTAAGAGTCTTGGAGAGAGCAAAAAGGCATCGGAGCATCCATGTTTAAGGAAGAAAAAAGGGGTAAGAAAAATATGGCAGTAAATATGGTCAGGTTTTTAGCAGTCATAGAGGAGTACTTTTGAAAGCTGAAGGAAAAAACCAGATGAGAGTGGGGAGAGAATAAATAGGAAGGAATGAGAGAAGATGGGAAGGAACTGGGTCCAGTTCAGTTCCAGGGTTTAGAACTTCATAGCTGGAAGAGGTGGTGAACAGGAAATGGTGGGGGGAGAGAGGACACTGTGAGACTAAAAGGAGAGAGGTGACTTCTTTTCCGTGGTCAGGACCAGCATCGGTGCAAGAGCTTCATTTTCTACATTAACGTATGTCACTTCCACTTACCACTTGTCATTCATGTCATATCTTGTTGTCACATTTATTTTTCTCCATTGTTTATCCCTGACCAGGCACTCCAATACCATAGTGAAGATCACATTAAAAATATTACCTGGATAGAAAAATAGGTATATGTGGATAGATTCCCCCTTCTGTGGCTGATTTTTTCCTCACTGTACAGTACATCTGTGACATCCTTCTCCATAATTTATGCTGTCTGCTCTGTTATCTGTCTATAAGCTTTTTTGCAGAGTCCAAGTTACATAGTGTTTTATATACACTACACACTAAGCCTGGTTAAATACATTTGACATTTTATTAATACTTTTTTTTTCCCCCTCCCACCCTGCCAATCTCAGGTTATAACTCGTAATGAATTAATGCTGGAAGAGACGAGAAACACTATTACTGTTCCAGCTTCTTTCATGTTACGAATGTTGGCATCGTTGAATCATATAAGAGCAGGTAGGAGACTATTGGAGCAGTTTCTGTGCAGTCTTGTATAGAGGTGCACCGATACATCAGTCTGATATTGGATTAGCACCGATATAAAGAAAATTTATTATATCAGAAATCAGCCATATCAGGCTGATAATTTGGCCAATAAATCACCCGTGCATGCACGCAGCCGCAGCACAACACAGGTGGCAAGGAGTACAGCCTGGCAGTGTGGGGAGCTGCCTCCAGCTGGTAAATCTGGTGTGGTGGAAGGGGAGGGGGGAGGGAAAGGGGCTGGGGGAGCAGATCAAGGCCCCTGTGGTGAGGGAGGGCTGGGACAGAGGATGGGACAAGTGCTGTCCAGCCAGGATGAGGTGGGTGCAAGATGGAGCCACAGCTCGTCCGGGGAGAAGAGTGGGGTGGCGCCTGCTGCTGTGTGCTGCTGGTTCGGCGGCTCATCTGGCAGCCGCCTGCTCATCTGGGGGCTCCCGCTGCTGTTCCTGCCGCTCGTCTGGGAGGGGGGGAACGTGCCCCCAGATCTGCATGGGGTAGGGCGGGCTGGGGCCACATCTGCGCCAAGCTCTTCCCGGAGGGGTGGGGCTGTACTGGAAAGGGGTATGGGGAAGGGGCTGCAGCCACAAATTTACTGTAGCCCTTTGCCAGCGCAGCCCCACCCCACCGGGAAGAACTTGGTGCAGCCTGGCCACAGCCTGCCCTGCACAGATCCGGGGGCACAGGCCCCCTCTGTGCCCTCCCGGACAAATGGCGGGAACAGCAGCGGGAGCCACCGGACGAGCTGCCAGACCAGCGGCTCTTGGATGAGCAGTGTGCAGTGGCAGGAGCTCCCCTGCTTCCTGCGCCCCCCCGGATGAACTGCGGCTCTGTGCCATGCCTGCCCCACCCCGGCTGGGCAGCACTTGCTCTGCCCCAGCCCCACACCCTCCCTTACAGCAGAGGCCTTGATCTGCATTCCTCCCAAGTCCCTCGCCTCTCCCCTCCCGTTCCACCACACCAGACTTACCAGCTGGAGGCAGCTCTCCACGCTGCCAGGCTGGTATTGGAAATCGTATCGTATCGGGCAATATGCCTCCTTAAAAATCGGCTATTGGTATTGGCTGCAAAAATCTCTTACCGGTGCATCCCTAGTCCTATACTATATATAATCCTTGTCTAGTATAAATATTTATTGCAAAATTAACATAGCTACTGTTGTTAGCTTGTCTGTGGCTAAAACATCACCCCAAAACTATCACTATTAGCTTGTCTTATTTTCAAGATTCCTTGGGATATATGTTCAGATGCTACACGCTTCTTTATACAATTTATGACTTCCTTGTTTGGTATATTCTGTTCCAAGGATAGAACAACTTTATACTTCAGTAATCATATTTCTGACAATAACGTTGTTTTGCTAAAGAGGTAACTGATGAGGTGCACTGTTGGAATATCCTGAGCCAATTTTGTGCTCCCACCCTCCTGCGTCTCCATTTAATTTTGCTCTTTCTCTAGACAGCTACTCAAAAATCATCTCTTGTGAAGCATACAGTCACTGACAGCAATGTCCCCAGTTTTCTGACAGATGCAAATTTCTGTTTACAACTGTCTTTTAATGCTTCCTTAGCTCCAGCTGCCTTAAAGAGACCAGTCACCTCATTGATTCCCTAGGTTTCTTTTTTAAAGTGCTCAAACCCATTTCCTTTGTGCTAAAAAAAAGGCACAAGTTAGATGTTGCCTCATTCATCCCCTTGGTACTTACGATTTCTAGTCTTTGTTTTTACTGTCCTTGCTTTCTTGTGTTGTTGCAGCATTCCCATTCAGTACATGCAGTAGACTTGTCTTTAGTATTTAATACGTATCTTTTACAGTAGTACCTAGGTGCACTTTGTAATAGGCAGTGAATACATAGTTTTGTAACTAGTAAGTTAGAAATTATTTTAAATTGTACTTTTAATGATTCTTTTGTCTTACAGACCGATTGGAGGGTGACAGGTCAGAAGGATCTGGTCAGGAAAATGAAAATGAAGATGAAGAGTAACTGTCTCTTCTGCGTGACCACCTAGACGTTAAGGAATTTGTATAAGACATTAATTATATTTTTCCTTACAGAGCTTTAGTGCAATTTTAAGGTATTGCTTTTGGATAACCTAACATTTTGTTTTTGAACGATTGTGTGCATGACTCTGGGGGGAGAGTGCAAGTAAAATAAGCAGAAATGTTTTTAAAATGTTTTGGCATGTATGAGGGGTGCTAGAAGATGCAAAGTGCAATATTTTCCTTAACTTGCAAACGTGGGAGCTTGGATCAATGTTTAAAAATAACTTTCATTATAGTAAGAAAAAACGTTGGTTCAAATAAATTTCTATACCTGCTATCTGCATGTTTGTTGCTTTCTAATTAAAAAGATTTGGTTGTTTAAAATTCTCATGCTCTCTTGTGTAGTTATTGATTTGTCATTATTAATATTATAACCTCCATCATGGTTGTTTCTCTCAGTATGAATAGGATGCTGTGAAATGTTGAATAGTTCCAATTCCCATTGACCTCTGTGATAGTTCATGCCACCCTGGAGTAGTGGGCCCTCTATCCTTAACAGTCAATTAACATGAAAAAGGCCCATCTGATTTTTTTTTTTTTTTCCTTAATTAATTTCTTTAAGTTTCATTTTTTTTGTGTCCATACATTTGTGTAATACCCAGGGATTGTAAAATAAATTTTAAAATGCTGTGATATTATAAAGGTAAAACTCCCACAAAGAGCAATGGTCTTGTGGTTGTAGTTATAATTCTATATGGGAATCAAGGAAACTTAGCTTATAAATTGTCTCTGTCACAGAATCTGCATGTGCTTTTGGGCCAGACATTTAGGCCAAATGTTTTGTAGCTTGGGCAGGTACAGATAACTTATTGCAGTGCTGGGTTTGGGGGTTGTTGGGATTTGGATGGGCAAAGAATTGACCTTGAGTACCTGAAAG